TATATATATATATATATATATATATATATATATATATATAAAATGCAAATCAAATGCAACCTTTTCAAATGTTGCAACCAATGCAACCCAATGAAATTTAATCCTAACCGTTGATCATCCCCCTTTTAAGAAGTATTTTCGGTTTTAGTTTAAAAAAAATACAACCGCCTCATCCCCGGCCTCATCCCCAATCGTTGATTGTTTAATTGTGTGGTGTAGATTAAGTTGCGTTGGTTGCAACATTTAAGGAGGTTGCATTTGATGAGCCCGCTATATATATATACACACACACACACACAGAGGCGGAGGATCGTGTGAGAAGGAGGGTTAAGGTGAGAAGTGTAAGAAGGGATCTCGTCCCTTAATCACCTTTAATCTCAAACCCACCTATGAATCACGCTTGATATAGATTGATCCGGTGCATCTCATTCTAATGTGCATCCAAGGGTGGAGATTCCTTCTTATGCTTCTCACCTTAACTCTCCTACCGGAACCCAAACATATATATATATATATATATATACACACACACACTGGAATCTCTCTTTTCTTCTCAGAAGTAATCTAATGGAGTTTCACATATTCTCACATGGTATGAGAGCCACTGTCTTCCATTCTAGGGACTCGACAATTTGTACTTGTCTAGTCCCCTCTCAACACTATGGTACAATATGTGCCTGTCTAGAGTTGGAGGGGGTATGTTAGAGTCTCACATCAACTAGATTTGAACTATTTCTCCTCTATATATGTTGGAACCTCTCTTCTCTCTTCAAGGGCTTTTTTTGGAAAGTAATCTAATGGGGTTTTACGTATTCTCACAAGTATTATTCTTAACTAGCTTCATATTCTGATGGATTACATTGAAATTGTGACAGATTGGACCACTTCGCTGCTGGCCAGGAGGGTTATGTCTTTCTCGATCTATCGGTGACATGGATGTTGGCGAGTTTATCGTTCCAATACCACACGTGAAGCAAGTGAAGGTAAACTATGAACTTCTGTTTTTTTGTTAGAATTCGGTGTTCTGGTCGTTGATTGTTATCTGTTTTTTGAGCCTAAACAATACCGTTTTCTGCTGTATAAAGCTTTGTAATGCTGGTGGAAGGCTGATCATTGCTTCTGATGGCATTTGGGATTCTTTGTCGTCTGAGATTGCCGCTGAATCTTGCCGTCGTTTGCCTTCTGAACTTGCTGCTAGGCAAGTAGTGAAGGTAATTTTCTGTCCAAAATTCTACACACACTACAATAAAGTCGGCTTTACAAGACTACAAATATGTCTACAGATGTTCTAAAAAGCTGTTTTATAGGACCAAACAATCATGCGTCTCATGTAAAGGTGTTACAGTAAGTTGATAGGACGTTTTTGGACATCCTAACAAGTTTTTAGGACAATTTTGAAATAAAACGTCATATTAGTCTTTCTTTAATAGTATAACATTATTAGATAAAAAGTGTCCTATAAAAAAGCTAATAGGATACTTTATTTCAAAAGTGTCCTAAAGAACTTGTTAGATGTTAGGATGCCCAGATAAGACCTAACATCCTAGTGTCCTATTCTCACACTTTTACGAAAAAAACACAAAATTGTTTGGTCCTATAAACAGAAAGGCTATAAAACGGTCTATTAGGACATTTAGACATATTTGACGTACTATAAAACCAATTTCGTTGTGGTGACATGATACTTTGCAGCATGAATCCTAAATCTTGAAAACATGCTTCTAATTGATGGTTTATTTAGGAAGCACTAAGAACAAGGGGACTGAAAGATGATACAACCTGCATAGTTGTCGACATAATTCCGCCAAATAATTCAATACCGCCTCCTTCTCCGCCTCGGAAAACTCAGAGCAAGCTACGATCGTTGTTGTTCAGAACCAAGCTCCATGGTTCGGCTAGTAAATTGTCGAAGAAACTCTCTGCCGTAGGCATCGTAGAGGAACTCTTTGAAGAAGGTTCAGCAATGCTTGCAGAAAGGTTAGTTTCATGTTACCGTTCACTTGTGGTCACCAAATATGTCTAAATGTCTTAATAGACTGCTTTATAGAATCGAACAATTGTGCGTCCAATGTAAAAGTGTTACAGTAAGTTATTAAAACACTTTGGGCATCTTAACAAAAAAATAGAACGGATTAAAATAAAGCGTCCTATTAGTCTTTTTACATGACATTACTTGAAAAAATGTCTTATAAAAACAAGTGTCCTGTAAAAAGATATGCTCATAAAGAAAGTTTCTCAAAGATGCTATAAAAAAAGTTAATGGTACACTTTATTTCAAAAGTACCATATTTGCCCAAATATGTTGTAACATTCTATTGTTACACTTTTATACAGGTGGCACAGATACAATTGTTTGATCTGATAGACTTAAGTCTTGTAAAGCAGTTTACATATTTGGGCGTCCTATAAAACCAATTTTGTTATATAGACTGCTTCTACCATGGGGGTTTTGATCGTTTGTGGTGATTTTTATTTTGTTTTAATACGTGTAGATTGGGGAATGACGACACTCGTGGTCTATCCACATCCGGACTCTTCACGTGTGCCGTGTGTCAAGTTGACCTAGCTGCAAGTGAAGGTACACCGGTTCATGCAAGTCCCATATTCTCCGCAAACTCTAAACCCTGGCACGGTCCTTTTCTTTGTGTCGGTTGTCGTGATAAAAAAGACGCGATGGAAGGAAAACGACCAAGTGGAATCAAAGTAATTTAATCCCGAGTTCTTTTTACGCGAAAATTCTTTGGTTTTTTCATTGCTCCGAAATTCGGTAGGCCGTTATAAGTTCAAAAATCAACAATAATGTTACAATGAGTTCAGAAATCACTAATTCCATGCATTTTATAGTGCTAACTTGAAACATCAAGTATTCTTGTGTAATATATAAGGTTTATTCGTCTAATTTTGTTTTCTGTATTTTTATTTTTTGGGTTTATATATATATATATATATATATATATATATATATATATATACATACATACACATATACATATACAGAGGTGAATTATTATGCAACATTTTACATTTGTACAACTAATACAACTCAATCTCAACTGTCCATTTAATTTGATGAATATGTGATTTTATAAAAGTTTTGATTGTTTTCTAATATAAAGTATTGATCATAATTAATGAATCATAGTCATCTTCCCTAAATATTCAAATCATAATAAATGAACTTTTATCATTTTTATAAATATTTTAATTGATTGGGTTGCATTGGTTGTATAAATGTGATGAGTTGCATTTGAAACGTTCACTACATATACATATATATACACACACACACACATATACATATAGAGGAGCGATCAAATGCAAATCACTTTTATTTATACAAACCGTGCGAATCACCCTCATCCGTCGATTTCTTTGTTTAATCTTATGAATTTTTTTTTCATAAAATTGTTTAATCTTATGAATTTTTTTATCACAAGGGGAGAGGAGAGGAGAGAGTGGAAAAGAACGTGCAGGAAAAAAAGGGATAATTATGACTAATTAAAATAAAATAAAAATTATAAAATTAATTAATTACATTACTGCCATTATTAATTTATTTATATTTAATATAAGTTAATTTATTAATTAAAAAAGTTTGAGGTTATTAGATTGTTCTCGCATTCTCGTAAATCACAGGGGTTCTCGTTTGAACCTCCACCTATATATATATATCCGGTGGCCCCCGTTTCTATCTCTATCAGGCAGCGACAGCCCCCACCTCCATAGCCACAGCATGTAGGAGCAGCTCCTTAATCCGATATATATGTCTCTCTCTCACTCACTCTCTCTCTCTCTATATATATATATATATGTGTGGGCGGGTTTTTGTTAATCCAATAATTGGTACTAACTTCGTGAACCAATTTTGACCCTCAATTCTTAAAATTTATGGATGAGATCAATTGTAATATATTTGTAATTAATTAAAAATGAAAGAATACCCGGGGTATTTTTGGGAGAGATGTCCAAATATGTTACAAAAATATAATTAATTAATTACATCGGTTTGTAATTGCTCATTCCTTTTATAGTTTGTAAAATCATCCGTGTTGCATTAAGAACACTTATGAATACATATGAACATATATGTAACTTAGTAACTAATATTAATTCGTGGCTTTCACATATGAACATACAAGAACAATTATGAACACTTATTTGCACCTACTAAAACTTATGAACACTAAAGTAATTGGCTTTCACATGTAAACACAATAATATATGGTTTCGCTTGTGAACACATATTGACCAAATGTTAGATGCATATAGATATTGTTTTATGAACACATGTGAACAATATATACACTATACAAACATTGGTGACTACATATATGTTAAAAATAGAACATCCAAGTTTCTTATCATATTAAAATAATAAGTCATCTATAATTTGGAAAGAAAAAAAATAAACATATTATTTTAGCTATAATCATGGAATTGATGTTTTTATAACCGTCCATTAATAAATATGAAGTTAAGATATTGTATCATCAATATGAATTATATGGCGATAAAAGAACCTTGTTGTATAAATACTCAAATATTAACCAACATCAGCTCAGGTTCAAATAGAAGGGTGGGGTTGCGCTCGTTGGAGCCAACGATAAGAAAACAAGAAGACAACAAAAACAAAGAAAACGGTATAAGTATTTAATTTAAATATAAAATGATATTATATTATGTCCATTCAAATTAAACCGTTAAGAAAAATGATTGGATTAAAAGACATAGAAATAAATATGGATAGAGCATTTTTGTAATTTACAGTTGGAAATTAGGTAGCAAATGGTAGAGTTGATGTATACACATTTAAAAAAGCACATGGCAAGAAGCACAAAATTAATTCCATTTGTGTCCCCACACCAAAGGAAGGAAACCATGAAAGCTATGTATCATCTAAACACCAGACATCGCAAATTTTATGGGTAGCTACGTAAATCTGCTACTCATGATGACCAATCCCATTCGAAATCAATCTCAAAGTATGCAATGAGTTTTTTAGGGGCTGTTTACCAAACACTTATCCGAATAAGCGTTTACCGAGTTACATTACCTCACCGGATGAATATGGTAAGGACTAAGAATCTTCCCTGGTAAGAGCGAGACAAGGACCGTGAGTCTTACCCGGTTAGTGAGGGCGACGTACCGGGTAAATTGTTGCATACAATGTCGTTTTGATGGATTAAAATCTTACACAGTAAGTAAATAATAGTGTTAAATTTTACCGACAAACACTTACCGGGTAAGTGTTTGGCAAACGGCCCCTTATTATAAGTCAGGATTCACGTCGATATTATTGTTTATCAGTATATATAAATACCCATGTATAGATGAATGTTCAAACAAAAACACCGTCATTTTATGAAGAAAAGAAACACGTTTTACACATGTGATAATACACGTAAGGGAATCTGGTCGTATGCGGAGGATATGGATTAATGGTATGAGTCACCCACATTTCTAATACAAATATAATTGTGGATGAAAGGTTAGGGGTGAGCAAGTGTCAAAGGGAAGATTGTTTTTCTGAAAGCCATTTGGACACATAGACAATATACCATTTTGAGAAAGAAAAAGGAAAAGCAAAAGCAAAAGAAAAAGATTGTTCAAAGATTTGAGAATGTGTATTTAATTTGAGTAGATAAATTTATTTTGTAAAAGTAATCACATAAATTCGTATTCTAATTGATACTATTATTTTTGGTGACGGTCATGTTCATTTTTTTGGTCTCGTAGGTTTTTGAACCAACTTACGTGTACTGAGTATGCTTCTAAAACGTCATGAATGACCTAGAGTTATAGCAGGTAAACCTTCATAGCCACAAAGGATTTGGCAGCAGCTTGATTCGAATCCATAGAGGTCGTTTTATTTTTTCACAACCATGAAACATTGTTTATATCAAATATGGACGAGTTTGTCAAAATACAAAACAGGGTCCTAGGTTCGACCATGGATCCCTGTAATCTTTTGTACTTTCGTCGGAAAACTGGCCCTAACGTGAGCGGCTGCTTTCATGGAACTAATTTATAGGGGCTTGAAATTCGTTATAGAACTAACATTATATAAGCTTTAGCCACTGGGTGAAGCAGAAAATATCCTCTTACATTGGTATCTTTGAAGACCTCTTACATTGGTATCTTTGAAGACGGGTTCTGTATCTAATAATATATATATATATATATATATATATAGGGTTGGGTTCACGTGAGACCAAAGATTTTTCATGAGACCCGTAAGACCAATTTATGTTCATTGATCAACTTTATAAGTTAATGATCTAACGGTCTAAATTGCATGGTGGCAATTTGGTAATTATTAAGAAATCTCATGGTGTTTATGAATGTTTAGATTGTCAGATTATAGATATAATCCAAGGGTTGAGAATTGGTCTTACGGGTCTCACGAAAAATCATTGGTCTCACATGATCTCAAATATATATATATATATATATATATATATATAGGTGGAGGTTCAAACGAGAACCC